AACAATTAAAAGAGCCAGACTCATTCTGCAACAAGACACTTCCTTGGATCATTTTATCGAGTCAAAAAAAAAAAAAAAAACAGAAATGTATTATAAGTTTATTTATATTTATTATAAGTTCATTTATAGGCGTTTTTGAAACGTATTAATGAAGGTTTTTAATTTTTCATTTTCCCATGACAATATTGACCATGTCATTCTTGTCTATTAATATTTGATTGAATATTTTGTCATATTATCTATTTAGTTACTAAACCAAATAAGCAGGTTCTGCCAAAAGTGACCCGCCCTCATCTACTCGCACATTTCTGGAAATAAAAATCAAACAGCAGCTGTGTTTGGAAGCGCTTATGGTCCAAAGTCTCACCTCCACTTGGTGCGCCGGTTCTGGAACCAGGTCTTCACCTGAGCGTCCGTCATCTTCAGCGCCTTGGCGAGCGCCGCGCGCTCCGCAGACGCCAGGTACTTCTGGCGGTGGAAGCGCTTCTCCAGCTCACAGATCTGCAGCCTGCTGAACGACGTCCGCGGCTTCTTCTTCTTCGGCGGAGTGCGGTTCTGGTACGGATGACCTACACGGCGCGTGACAGTGAGGGGTGAGAGGGAGACTGGAGGGGGTGATGATGATGATGATGATAATGAAGAGGAAGAAGACAGGGTGAGCAGAGAGGAGAAGAAGCAGGTCTGAAGGCCAGAAAGAAGCTGGAGGTTTAAATGAGCAATTTCATCATCATCATGACTTTTAAAATCCCAGATGATCGGAAGGCCAAACATACTAATTCAAAATCTAATAAATAGTTCAATATTATTAACAATCAGCTGGTTGTCGACAAAAAAAAAAAAGGTTTTCCGATTTAAAGGGAAATTATTAACATCTAATTAGGAATAGATTTGTTTATTTTGATATAAACCTTGGTTGAAATAGTTAATTTAAGGAAATCATGCCATGAAAATGTTTCGCGTGAAGCTGGAATTGATTGCAGATTTTATTTTTTACTTTTAAAATGATAAAAAAGAAATACAAAAACATTAATATCTTCCCCAAATGTTTGTAGATTATCACGAATTTATTGGTTCAGTTCAAAGACTTTACTGCTGTGATGTTGGTGTGATTTCTTCTTCTATAGTTTAGTAAAATTTTATTCGTTCATATATTGATCCGCTCAGCTCAGATTCGATCCGTTTTTGAATGAAAACGAAAATCCGCAGGAGGAAGAGTTGGATTCAAGGAAGGGAAGCTGATTAGAGCAGGAAATAATTCAAATAAAATATCTGAATAAAAATATTTCTTTTTTTTTTTTGTCTAATTTTGTCTGATAACAAAATATGACAGGCTTTATTATGATCATCATTTAAATAACTATTATTAAGAATAATAACAAGGACAACAGTGATAAATGTATTTCACTATATTGGTTATTATTATTATAATTTAATTAAAAATACTACTCCAACAGTGTGATTAAATGTTGTAGTAATACTGGTTTTAATAATGGAAATAATTAGATGAATAAGAATAACATTAAATTAAAAATATTTGATTACTAGAAATAATAACAATAATAATAATAATAGATGTAGGCTATTTCATTATATTCATTATTATTTTTATTATTATTATTATTATTATTATTATTATTATTATTATTATTATTAGTAGTAGTAGTCGTAGTAGTAGTAGTAGCAGTAGTCGTATTATTTGAAAAATACAAGGCCTACTCCAGAAGAGAAATAAAATGTTGTGGTAATTCTTGGTTTTAATAATGAAAATAATTATATTAAGAGAGAAAACATTAAATTAAAAATATTTTATCAGTAGAAATAATATTGATAATAATAATAATAACAGATGTAGGCTATTTCATTATTATTATTATTATTATTATTATTATTATTATTATTATTATTATTATTATTATTGGTTGTAGTATTATTACGTTAAAATTACTTGGCCTACTCTAAACGACAAATTTAAAATTTTAGTAACTCTTGGTTTTATAAATGAAAATAATTAGCTATATTAATAGGAATAACAGTAAAAGCATTACTAGAGCTAATGATAATAATAATAATGTAAATAGCACCTGTGAAGCGGTCCTTGGTGTAGCGCCGGTTGCTCTCCATCCAGGGGAAAGTCAGCGCGCCCATGTTGCTGACGCCGCCGCTCGCGGCAGGCGGCCCCGCGGAGCTCCCGGTGCTGAGCGGCCGGTGCGCGGGCACTCTGATGACCCCGGTAGAGCCCATGTTGGTTCCGTTTACGTTGACGCTCATGTTCATGTGGTAAGCTCCCCCGAGTGATGCCATCCCGCATGATCCGCCGGCGGCGCCGCCGTATCCGCCGCCGCACGTAAAGCCTCCCGCGCCGCTGTAGGCCGGGTGTCCGTAGTCCGGTTCGTGCATCCTCGCGCCCAGCATGCAGCTCTGCTCCACGTTGCTGAGGATCTGATCGATGCCGAAGTTGATGGGCTCCACGTGCGCGTGTTGCTGCAGGTGAGTCCCCAGGATCCCGATGTGATCCATGGCGCTCGGTGCTCCGCGCGCCTCCCTCGGCTCTCTCCCCGCGTGGCTCCTCTGCTGGACCTGCGGATCGTTATCTAGCGACGGGGAGCGTCGCGCGCGTCTTTCTGTGCGCTCCCGGCCCACCCGCCCTCATCTGTGCGGGTCATCAATCAAGCTGCCAAGGAGGGAGCGATATTAGGGGCCCCAGTCTGCAGGGCCCACAGACTGGACAGAGGGCAGGGATTAGAGGACGGATTAGTTTGGAAAGTAAACACACCTTTACTTCTCATCGATAAACAATCATTTTCTTCCTTATTTATTTATTTTTTCACGTTTTCTTAATTTAGGTCCTGAGTTTAATTCCTTCTTATTCTCATAACGTTTAGGCCCGTGATTCCTGAGTCAAATACCTGTGGACCAGTTTTAATCGGTGCATTATTTTAAACATCATCTGGATTTAGACACTTGGTCCGTTTTTCTCCAGAGATTTGTTCTCCACGATAAAAAAACAACAACAACAAATAAATCAGAGTAAAATAGGAAGGATTGGCATTAAAATGATAAGAGAGCAGAGGAAGCCATGTCGATGGATAAATAGTTAAAACAATCCATTTAAAAATAGAACAAAGTTTGATTCTTCTAATAATCGACCTAATGGCCTGAAAGGATCCGAGGTGCAGATGAAAAATGAGCGGCTCTTAATGCGCAGCGGCTCCTTATTGCTGCGGATCTGCCGTTATTATTAATTCATGTTCAGAGGGATGACAACACATCCACCGGATTTTCCTTTTATTGTGTTTGTTTTGTTCTTATCTCAGGCTCATGCAATCACACAAACCGTTGTTTTCGTTTATTCTGTGAATAATCGACTGCGGCTCTAATGAGCGCTGCTGTTCATAAATAAATGCGACCCACCAAAAACCCAAACAATTAAGTGAAAGATTAAACCAGAACCTCATTGATTTCCACTCCTCCAAAGGCCGCTGGGACTTCATTACTTAACGCGGTACCTCAGATTAATATTTGATGTGCATTTGAAAGCTGCGATTGGCCAGCTGCCTCTCATCAAATCTTAATGCTGGTGGCAGCCAATCAGCGCACGACTTGGTTCAGGACTAGACCAATAAATGCTCACCAGGGACCGGATGGAGATGAAATGCAATCATGCAGTAATGCAGCCAGTGTTTGGAGACAAGCAGCAGGTAGTTACCATCTATCTTCTATATAATCAACACTCTTCATCTGAAAGCAGAGCAGCTTTTCTTCACTGATAACTTCAGCTCAGAAGGGGTTGGGTGGGAAGCAGATCTGCAGGATCTGGAACCTTGGTCCTGATGTGCTCAGTGACACTGCCTGGCATCTTCTCAAACATAATCATATAGGGACTGTTCTTCTGTGCTTTGGGAAGAAAAAAAAGCATCTCAAATGGTGACAAGTAGCCACTCAGAGCAGAAGGGCCTGTTCTGTCAGACCAGCATACCCATACTCAATACGCAAGATGTCCGATTTACTTTAGTTTTGTGGAAAATACTATAAACTACCTCAACTGGCGTGTATCCCTTTAGTCATGTAGAAAAAAAACAAAACAATTTATGGTCAGATCGCCAGATGCTTCAAAACACACCAAAAAGTAAGTAAATAAATAGTTTTTTGCACATGGCTAAAGGGATATATGCCCGTTGAGGTAGTTTAAAGTTTATTTTACATTCAAAACTAAAGGGATAAACTAAATGGATAAACGGGTTTTGACTATGGGTGTGCTGGTCTGACCGGGTATGCTCATCTGACAGAACACCAGTGCTCCAGGGTTCTGGTTCTGACACCATAGAATCAGTAAAACACCATCAGGGAGGATGTCCTAAAATTCAGTGGGACCACGAATGGACCCAAGCATCAAAAAGCGCTGGATCCTTTATTGTCATTTTGTATACACAGAGTGTATGCAAAACAACATTTAATTTTGTAAATCTTTGATGACATTTCCATTCCATAAAGTGCAGCAGTGATCAAATGTAAACAGTGTGGGAGAAAAAAAAAATATGGACCAAAAAAATTTTATATCTAAGTTCAGAGCATAAAATATATAAACTCAACACTAAGTCAGAGTGGGACCAAATGTACTCTTAAAGTGTTCCTTAACACTGCAACATTTACTGTGCAGGAATTTGGTTCTGTTGATCACCTCTACAGCTGAGCTGTTGATGAGCAGTGAAACGTGGTTAGGCCGGTTCTTCCTGAAGTCCCAGATGATCTCCATCTTCTCCTCTCTGTAGTCCAGGTCGCTGTCGTCTCTGATTAGGCCACCGTGGGGTCGTCTGCAAAATTCCTGATATGATTGTATGTGAACCTGGGTACGCAGTAAAAATAAATTGTTTCTATCTTTATTCTATATTGAAACATTTATCTGTCGACTGCATTTTACGCAGTAAAAAAAAATAATAATTATACCAA